AAAAAAAAAAAAAAGAAGCCTCTTCCGAACATCCTGACCTCACCATTTACTAGCTGTGTGACCTAAGGCAAGTTACTTTAACTTCTTTCTGGTATAGTTTCTTCATTTATAAAGTAGAGATAGTAACAGTACCTATTCCATAGGACTGTTGTATCAAGCCCTTAAAACAGGGACTAGCACATAGCAGTAAATGATGCTTTTACTGTTCATTCTGTGTTGGCTTGCTAAGTATTAGCTCTGTAATACCCTTTCTAGGAACCACTGAACATCTTAATTAAACACCAGCTATTAGGAGATCACAGTCCTTGTTTTTAAGGCTAGGAAAGCTAGAAAAAGCTCTTGGTTACCAGCTTAGTTGTTTTTTGTTTATATGGGGATTTTTTGGTTTGTTTTTTAGGATAAATTCAGAAGGGGTCTCAGCAAAGACATATATTGGAAATGCATTATTGGGTCATGCTTGGGACTGGTCCAGCAGGAATAAATTATTCTTTGTAACATAAAAAAGCTAGAGAAATAAAAATATAGTGTAGTTTAGGAAACACTTTCAGAGTTGAGAGAGAAACAGAGTAACTGAATTTGAACCAATCAGGCACTGAATCAGATTCAAGTGAAACAAGTACATACATAAATAATTTGTATTAGGATATTGTATTTAACAAGTGTAATTACTAGGTTCTTCTCAGAAACTACCTTCATAGAAAAAAATGTGTTCACGCTCAGTAAACTTACTGAGTGTAAACCTTCATACAGTAGCAGACAGCAAATTAATATTAAATGATGGTACAGTGTTTCATTTTAGCAATCCAGTTTTCTACCTAGTTTTATTACTTTACTTAATCCAGCAAATATTTAGTGCCGTGACTGATGTGCTACTTCGCCAGTAGAATATCCTGCACAATCTAATAAAATTCATTAGAAAACATTAACTGCACAGGCTGGTAATTGATTTGTAATTTCTAATTCCCCATAAGTTACTGTTGGCTCCAAGCATGTTGAGTTTTAGGCTAAACCTGCACTAAGATATGAAGTCATGATAGAAATACCAGTCAATTCACAACTCAATTCACAATTCACAGCTCACAAAGTTGTAACTTGCAAGTTTGCTCTTATGTTTGTGACCCTTTTAATATTGGCTGGTATCCGTGACTTGGTTTGGTTTATGTTTGCTCCCCTTTGCCAACTTAACGTGTCTCTAAACCATACTGGGATTTGACTAACGATATTAGTTAGACATCTGGAATAAAGGTTTGTATTTTCTCCACAGAGACTTGGTAGATGAGGCTAAAAACTATCTCCTGTTGCCTCAAGAACGACCACTAATGCAAGGACCGAGGACAAGACCACGGAAACCTATCCGATGTGGAGAAGTACTCTTTGCAGGTTTGGATCTGACTACGCTGTGACTAAACTGAGTATTTTCCCACATGAGAACCTGTCATCTGAATGGTCCTTTGGACAACTGTGATATCCTCTGTCATAAGAAACACATTATAAGTTACCATGTAGCTTCACTCTTACCTCATGATCCAACACTGGTATTCTCCCAAAGAATGCTCTGTTTTCATGTAAACCTAGAAACGCCAGATAGTGGACATTTTGTTAAAATGAGTCATGTGCGTTAATTTATATACCAGTGTGCAAGTCACCTCATAATTACATAAGGGCTGTCAAAAAACGCTGTGTTACATGGAAGAGTTACCCTCTTTCCTAGCCCTATGGAGCTAAGTTGAACCTAAAATAATCTGCTGTATCATTTTGCTCATATTGTCTGCTTCTAAATCTCTGAGAACTTTCAGTAGCAGAGGTTTCACTTCCATCCATGTAAATTCAGCTCCCTTATTCACCTGAGTAAAACTTTCTCACTGCTTAGTAAAAATCTTCTCACTAGCTCTGTTTTAGTCCATCTGTGCTGCTACAACAGAAAACCATAGACTTGGGTGGCTTATAAACAACAGAAATTTATTTCCCAAATTTCTGGATACCAGAAAGTCCAAGGTCAAGGCACTGGCAGGTTTAGTGTTTGGTGAAGTCCTGCTTCCTAGTTCTTTGTTGATGGCTGTCTTCTTGCTGTGTCTTCATGTGGAGGAAGGGGGAAGGGAGCTCTCTGAACCCTTTTGTAAGGACACTACTCCCATTCATGAGGGCTCTTCCCTCCTGACCTAAACACCTCCCAAAGGCCCTGCCTCCTAATACTGTCACATTGGGGATTAGATTTCAGCATACAAATTTGGGGAGACACAAACATTCAGTCTATAGTTAAGTTCTTCCTCTTCAAATTTTTTTTCAAATCCTGATTCATGGAGCTAGCTGGGACCTATCAGTAGTCTTTGTCTTTTCCATATTTTGGGACCTCTTACAGTCTTTGAACTCTAGTGAGAAATTAGCATTAACCCATCATGATTAGTGGGAAGAAAAATCACAGAGCATGTGCCAGTAGCAATAATGGATTACTAAAGTTACTTTATGAAAGGTAACCTATTTTTAATAACACATTTTGATTTTCTGATTATAGAAATGAAAGCACATGCAGTATAGAAATTTTGATTAACACAGAAAAGCATAAAGAAGAAAAGTTAAATCATCTGTCACTTTTTTTATACTATTAAGGTTTCCATTTTTATTTGTATAGAAAAGCCATTATTTCCTTTACAGTTAGTATTGGTTTTCCTTACTTTCTCAGTCTTATCATGTTATCTAGATCTGTACTCCATTCTTGAGTGACAGTGTTCACTGACATTATTTTAGATTTTGACCTACTGTCTCTACTTAAAACTTGATCTTCAGTTGTCTTTGGTATTTACTGCAATTTTGCATTCATTACCTTTGAAATGCCAAATTGCCAATTCTTACTTAACATTGGAAAATTGAGCCTTCCTTTCTTCATCACTCTGTGGAAATAAACCCTGGAAGCCTGAGATCAAATCTGTAATCTCAGTAGTTTTTTACTCAGGAGTATTTTACTTCTGTTGATATATTCTGGCGTGTCTCCTTGTTTACCATTCAGTTTCTTTATGCTTATCAATATTGTGTTTCTGGTTTTGGGGCTTTTTTAGTGTTCACAGTTCAATGATCCTAATTTCAGATACTTTACTAGATACAAGTTACCTTCCTTAAGGTAACACTTTTTAACCAAAACTGTCTTCTTGGAGTCAACATCTCACCCACATAAAGCTGCTCAGCAATATTTTTCCTTAGGTACATTGCTTAACTCAAATTGAGAGTTCTCTTGGCAAGGACTATGCATACACTTTACAAAGTTCAGTGTACTTGGCTTGTAGTAATAGCTAGTTTTTGTCCCAGTGAGCCATCACCAGCTGCCTTGGAAATCATAATGCATGTAAATTTGCCATGAGGCAGTGAAATTGAACAATGCTTTCCTCTTCTTGTTAACACAGGTCACAGGAAAGATTTAAATTTTCTTTCCTAAAGACCTATTTATTTGCTAGTATTGAGGAACACAGTTTATGAAGTGATAGTAGTTGATTTGGAGCCATGTAGTTCAATAAAAAGTTGGTTTTAATGGCTTCCATTAAAAATTATATCTGAGTTTTAATGATTAGTCTATTTGATTTGTCTTGAGTGCTTATAAACTCTCACATTTGTAACCAAATTTTATTTTATAATTTAAGATGTTTTCTCTGATATTAAAACTCCTGGCATATGTCCTAGGACAGAAATCAAATATAAGCAAATTATTGTGGTTTAGTACTAGTTGAATATCCTGATTTAAATAAAACTATGAGAAAATAAATGTATACAGCAGTGAGTGATATATTGGGTGCTTTAGGACAGGTTTTCTCCTGACCATTTCTGTCCCTTCCCCAGTTGGTGGTTGGTGTAGTGGAGATGCCATTTCGAGTGTTGAACGATACGATCCACAGACCAATGAATGGCGAATGGTAGCTTCAATGAGCAAAAGGCGATGTGGAGTTGGGGTCAGTGTTCTTGATGACTTGTTATATGCAGTAGGAGGTCATGATGGGTCCTCTTATCTCAATAGTGTTGAAAGGTAAGTAAGGTCAATTTGAATTTTTTTTCTACTATGCATTAGTTCCATTTGAGATGTTAATTAGGAAACATATGATTTGCTACTTTAGTATTGAATATGTGGCACTAATTGGCAGCCTACGCCAACTTAGCATGACAAGCCCTTTATGATTTGACTGCCACCAGTCTCTCCAGTCTGCCTCCCCTGGCACACCACTGTTCTAAACATGCTACCACAGACCCACAAACTGCTTGCAGCTCCTTGGACATGCTGACCTTATTCATGCCTCGCTGCCTACGTGTTTGCATGCTGTTCTTTCTTCTTTAGAACATCTCTTCAAGACTGAACTGTTACATCTCATATAAAGCCTTTTCTGACACCACTGACAAGTTAGTTGCTGATTCCTCTGCTCTTTTCATTAGTATTTTGAACATACTTGTACATATCACCTTGGCTGTAGTTGTTTGTTGAAATGTCTTTTCTCCTGTCTTTCACAGTGCCTGGCACATTAGAAACATACAATAATTGATTTTTTAATGACTTCCAGCTTCGTGCTCAAACTCACCCTTTTTTCATTCAACTGTGTTGATCTACGCTGATTCTTGGTATTTCCTTTACAAACTAAGATCTAGAGGCATAGGTTGTGTAGCTGGAAAAAAATAAGAGGGATCAGCTACATATAAGTTTTTAAAAAATACAGTACACCTAAAAATAAATTGATGAGTCAAGGAAAAAAGAGTGGAAATGATTAAATATTTTCAACTTGATAACAACTACACCCATATATATCAAATGTGTGGCATACAGTTAAGGTAGTGTTCAGAGGCAAACTTACATGCATTAAAACTTATGTATATTCATTTGAAAATAAGATGAGAAAATCATGCTTTTTAATCAAGAAGTTATAAAAACAGCAACAAAACCCAAGAAAATAGAAAGAAATTAAATAGAAAAATTAATGAAACTGAAAACAAAATTGATATAGCTGCAAAAAGAGCAATTTGATAGTATTTTTGTAATTTGATAGTATTTTTTAAATTAGAAATGAATATACTCTGTGCTACGGGATTGTATTTCTCATCATCTATTTGCACAAAGAGAAATATACAAGGGTAATCACTTGTTAAAAGCAAAATGTCAGAAAAATTATGGATACATCAGTAGGAATATGATTTAATAATATATGGCATATACAATATAATGAAATATTTCAAAGGAAAGAAAAATCTAGTGCTGTATTTATTAGAATGAATATATCTCAGAAACAGGTTGAGTGAAAAAACAGTGCCTATTGTGTGGTATTATTTATCTCAATAAAATAAGCTTGCATATAAAGAAATATATTTGTGGATAGATATATACCTATTTAGAAATACTTTACAAAAAAGTCGTAAAAGATATACACTAAAGCAAAATGGGAATGGATCAGAAATCAGGTAGAACTTGAAGGAAATTTAGCTTTATAACATTTCCAAAAAAATTTTTTTTTAAGAAAATTCATTAATATATAACTTGTCTGAGTAAAATTTAGTTTCAAAAATAAAAACAAATTATACTTTCATATGCTTCAGTTACTAATCAGCCATATTTAGGGGAAAGAAAATTTATCACTCTATGTCACTGAATATGTAAACATAGCCAGGCTTTCTATATGTAATATAAACTCTGCTCTTAATGTGTTCTCTGTAGGTATGACCCCAAAACAAACCAGTGGAGCAGTGATGTAGCTCCCACAAGCACCTGCAGGACCAGTGTGGGTGTGGCAGTGCTCGGAGGCTTTCTCTATGCTGTGGGTGGCCAGGATGGTGTGTCTTGCCTCAACATTGTTGAGAGGTGATTTGTTTTTTAAAGTCATTTTCAATTTTTTAAAAGAATATAGAAGGCTCTTTAAAAGAAACAATTGAGGATTCCAGGGGATCCTCTCTCTATTCATTTGATTTCCTGAGGGCATTAAAGAAAAAGTATTCAGTTGATCTTAAAGTCTAGGAAGACAAGAGATAACATAACCCAGATTTTTAAAACTATGTGTTGTACTCATTGAGCCTAATACTGAAGTATTGAAATCATATTTTAAATTACATTCTGTATATAATATCATGCTACCACTTCTGAAATCTGTTCTGTTTTTTTTCCCCAGTACTTGGAATATACTTAGTGCATGATTTTGCCCAGACTTCCTCCAGAAAAATGATTAAAATAATAATACTTTGTCTAGCATATCTTACAAAGATCCTGAAGTATTTTGTATATGGATTCTCCTTAATTCTTGGAGTGTATATAGGGAAATATCGGGGCTTCCAAGGTTTATTTTATATTTTTATAAATCAGTTCATTTTGGTGAAATAGATTCTGTTCTTAATTTCTTGCCCCATGTGTTTTTTATCATTCTGTCCTACAGATTAGATTTTGGACTGTCATGTGCTATGATTACTAACAAGAACATACCATTGTTCCATCCTCATTTCTTAAAAAGAAATGCTTCACGACTTTTCAGAATTTTTGAAATAGGATTTACTAGTTGGGTTTCCATCTAAGTTGAACAGTTTGACTCCATCTTAAATAGAGATAAAGTTGCAGGCAACTCTCGAAAGCTCTGCCAATTCCCTTTTGTCTCTGTCAAGAAACTTGGTTCTCCACTTTCAAAATGCTGTGCAGGAGGATTCTGGAAAGGTGACTGCAACAGCACGGGTTTTGACCTCTCCAAATTCCTGCAGAGCACAGAGGGCAAAGCTAAAACTCTGGACAAGTTGTGGAGCTTGGTTGCCTGACTGTGAATGTACTTAACACTACTAAACTGTACACTTAAGAATGGTTACCATGGTACATGTTATGTATCTCACCACAGGTTTTTTTTTTAACCCCATGGACAACATTTAAAATAAACTGGGAGTAAAGATATTCCCATAAACCCCAGAACACAAACGGGGAAAGACAAACCACCAGTAACCTCAAGCAGGTGTATGGTTATCAGTCTGTGCAGGAGGAAACAGAAGAGCTGTCAGAAATCTGACAGGTCTAAGAAGCAAAGAGCCCCCAAATAGCCAATACATATTTACTAGAAAGCATGAGAGGAAAATTTATGAACAGTTGAAACTAAGAAGATAGTTTCACTCCCAATAAAGAGTTAAGTGCAAGGGAGCTGCAATAAGATCTGAAGGATTTAGGAGCAGGTTTCTCAACCTCAGTACTACTGATGTGGGCCAGATAATTTCTTCATTGTGGAGCCTTCCCTGTGTGTTGTAGGGTGTTTGCAGTAGCAGCCTTGACCTCTACCCATGAAGTGCCAGGAGCACAGCCCTGTTTGTGATAACCAAGAATGTCCCCAGACATTGCCAAATGTCCTCTGAGTTGGAGGGGTGGGGAAGAGTCACTCTAACTGAGAACCACTGGCTAGACTGTCTAGTCCCAGGAGCCCTCAAAACTGACCAGCCAGGATGACCTCCGAGGACAGGGCCCACACTTCTGGGTGTGGAATCAAAACTGAGAAGGACAAGGACAAGAGGTACAAAGAAAAGAGAAGGCTGACATAAAAGAAGGAGCAGTGAATAAAGGCCAATAAATCTCAGGAGGCAAACTACTATATTTTTTAATGCTACATGAAAAAAAGCGAGAGGGAGCTCCATAATGTTAGAAAAATTCAAATCACTCCTCAGGAAAACTCATTTCATGTAAAAATTATCTCCCTGTTATAATAAAAAAAACTTGAAATTATTTATTGAAAAGATGTATCATATCCTCTGAATACTAACCCAGAAACACCAAGACATACTTTAATAAACTTAATGGACTTTATTAAAGGGAAAAATTCTTTCATCACCACCAACAAATACTTGTTACTTGTAAGCAAAAGAAATTTAGATTATCATCAGACTTTTTGAAAACAATGCTTTATGCCAGAAGAAAGTGGAGTAACATATATAAAATATTAAAGGAAATGTAAGCCAAGGATTTTTTATCTGGAGAAACTGACTGAACTATAAAGACACAAACTATTAGCATTGTTCCTGTGAGTCCTCATTGAGGAATCTCCTAGAGAACAACCTTCAGACAAAACCAACCAGGGAGATGCTGACAGAGTGCTAAGAGTGAGCACTAAACATAGAGCTAATCAGAGAACTATGACTTAATAAGGATGGAAAGGGAGAAGGAGTAGCATGTACTATATGCTCAGTCAGCTTAACTCTAGTATGATTGATTTTTAAAAGTGGAAGGAGAATGGGAAGAGATATATGAAAGAAATTTTAATTGTTCTCAGGAGTGGTAATGTTGCTATTTAAGACTGTTATGTGTATAATGTGTAATAAAGGAAATGAATATGGGTTATTCTAAATCTGGCCACCTCTGTGTTCTTAAAAACCAGGTTTCTGGATACAGAAGAATGTGGGTGTAAAATAGAACAGGTTAAGTAAAACACCTGTGGTCCTGAATTTCAATTTAAATTAAATTCCTCTTTTTAAGAACAATTATATTCTAGCTCTGGCAACTGAAGAGGCCTAGGAATTATGGCCAACCAAGTGGCAGTGAACATCTTCACTCCCGGATTGTGTCTTAAAATTCCATTTCCCACTAAAAGAAACCAGGGCTTCATGGAGAAATGCCTGATTCCAGATTTAGGATAGGAAATTTGCAGTTGAGCCTGGACCGTCTTGTCATACCAGATAGCAAGCAAGCTATCCAAGACTACTAGGCATGTCAAAAGAGTCAAGAGCCCACTTGGAGATGTTCCCACTGACCAATGATGAGACAGGTTTAACTCAAAAGAGAAAATAATTGTGATTGATTAAAATCCAATGAATATATATTAATAGTCTTAAAAACCCTAATAGGTTACCTTCAGAAGATCATAGGAAATTAATTTATCATCTTTAAAACAGTAAATAAAGAGAAATAAGCAAGCATTTATCCAGCCTTTCTTGTGTGAACTGTATCACATATGAATTAGGTAAAAAAATAGTAGATGAGAGGGTTGTTTCTTTGTAAGTATCCCAATAAAAGGAAATAAATGATAGAATATCACCATTTTGCAACACTCAGTAAATTAATGGACTTAAGCATTAATAACAGCTGCTAGCATACCACCTTCTATATAGTCTTGCCAAAGGGACCAGACTGGTCTGATCAAACCTCTGGATCTGCTGCCAGTTTGCAGAACATACAGGGGACAGACCAACATGTTGAATTGCACTATGAATGTACAATCAGTCAGATCCATGTTGTGGGGGAAACTGCAGGTCAGACGCCCCAGGTTCTAAAATAGATGAATTATAGGGGTAGGGGGAATGGGGGGAATAGAGGAAAAACCTGTAGATAAAAAGAGACTTTGAAAATATTTTTAAATTAATGAGTAAGAGTAACTGTCTAGGGATGCACACTTAGGTAACAAAGCTATAAAGAAACACAAGGATGTGATTACTGTAAAACTTGGATAATAGTTACCTTTGAGGGAGGAAAACATTGACATTGGAATGGGACATATGGAAGGGTCAGTATGGCAGGCAAACTTATTTTTCTTGGCCTGGGTGGTGGTTAAAAGTGGGCTTTCTTTATAAGTCATTAAACTATACACTTGTGGCATTCTGAATCAGTTTTACAATAAAGTTTTTAAAAATAATGCAAAGACTTCTGCTTTCAAGTAGAATGTAGTGACAGCTATCAAACCCACTGCAACAACTAGGAAAGAAATTACAACATACAAATATCTTCTTTGTAAAAACATCAGAGACAGGTGGAAGTAACAATACTAGATGTACTAAAATCCTGTTGCAGAAAGAGCCCATCTTATGTGAGCCATCAGCTGCTTTCTTTCCTGAAGACATTTGCCAAGTCGGAACATGGGGTGAATAGTGGACTTGGCCTAGGCAGAGTGATTCTCCTGGCAGAGAGAGAAATCAGCACAATTCCAAACAAACCACTGGTTTGCCTTGTGGGGTGTCTGCTGAGTGCTGCGGTAGCACAGGAGACTAGGGGACCAGAATGAATGACATCTTGTGCAATCTTATAGTGCTTAGAAGATGAAGTCCTGTTATAGGCAGGGGGCCTGCAAAGAATTCAGGACAGATATCATCCTTGAGACATTTAAAAACAGATGTGGACTGAGTCTAACTAAAGCTCAGTTCCTGGTTGAATTGAGGTGATCAACCTTTCATCCTATATGCCTAATGCAGGAATAAGTGAATATATTACAGAGGAGGGAGGGCGGTAGTGGAGGATAATACTAACTTCCTTTTCTAGGATCCCATTCTTTTATAATAATGTGCTACATACAGTAAACAAATGAGGCATCTAAAGACACAGAAAAATGTGGCAAATAATTGAGAGAAAAAGTACATAACAAAAACAGACTTATAGATGATCCACATTTGGAGTTTACAGAAAAAGACTTTTTTATTTTTATTTTTTTGAGAGGGCATCTCTCATATTTATTGATCAAATGGTTGTTAACAACAATAAAATTCTGTATAGGGGAGTCAATGCTCAATGCACAATCATTAATCCACCCCAAGCCTAATTCTCGTCAGTGTCCAATCTTCTGAAGCATAACGAACAAGTTCTTACATGGTGAACAAATTCTTACATAG